AATAATAATAATGATGATGATGATGATGATGATGATGATTATAAAAAAGAGCAGGCTCCACACACATGCCAGGTAGAGGTAAGATACAACTTTCAGGAGTCAGTTCTCTCCCTCCACTTTGAATCCCAGACTCAAGTCATTAGGGCTACCTGGTAGATGTTTTGACCTGCTGAGCCATCTTACTGGCCCAAATCCACTTGCTTTTAAAAAGCAACTGATGATATATTTGTGTATGAACCTTCAGTGTATCTTCATTTATAAATTATACACAAGAGCTTATAGTATGTCTTGTATCCTATAACACTAAATATATAATGATGTGAAAACAAGCATACATGCTCATTTTAATATTTCTGCTTGTATTGCACTCCCTTGGCATACATACACAAGTAAAGTACCCTATTTATAGAACTCTGGTTTAGATAGCTTTATGTGGGAGTTAACTTTGATGTTAGGTGGGCAGACAAAAACTCTGCACAGGCAAAAGATGATTTTCAAACTTCAAATTTATTTTCAAAGACTAACATATAACCCAGGTGCTTAAGAAATGTCTCATGAATATGTAATGAATAAACGATGAGGATTAAGTAGTCCACAGAATGTTTCATAATGTCATTGTCCTAACCCAAGAATGCCTTTTCACATGTGTACTTATATCACTATAATTTTTGCATCGCTCATGAAGAATGGTTACAGGGCACACTGGGATGTCCATGGCAGGGGGCTTTGACCTAGGATTAAGGTGTTCTTTTCTGCTGGAAGGCTGGCCTCCCCAGAATGTTTCTACCCATTTAGCTTACTGTGTGGTACAACATGGAAGACTCAGGCCTGAGGATCAACCAGAGATACTTAGAGTAGCACGTGGGGCACTGCACCGGTGCTGTCAGCTACTTGTGATTTTCTAAGCCAGGAAATAGGAAGGGGGTGGTGAAACAGACAAGCCAGCAGGGACACATCTGAATTGAGAGCATAGCTAAGTAGGCCCTCTGGCATGAGTCTGCATACTAACCGTGGGCACTCTTGTAACCACCCAGCCAGTAAAGCACCAGCATTGTGCTAGTATTCCAGATGCACATCCAGCAGCCTGGTGCAAGGTTCTCCCTGAATGCCTGGTAGGGCCAATGTCATTCACATGGTTAAAAAGTCCGTTTCTCTGGATGGTTTTATCATTGTAGGTGTTATGTTGCTTACAACCCCTTAGACACAGAAACGTTTATTCCTCTGGTCTTCATCTTCACCTCCAATTCTTTGGCTCCATTCTTATTGCCGTATTATTTCTGATCTCATAATTGAGCATGCCAGTGCTTCCAAATTATTTTATACAGCACACCTGGATGGTTTTTTAAAACAATTTAAGGCCAGTGAGATGGCTCAGGAGCTAAAAGATGTTGCCACTGAGCCTGACACCTGAATGTCATTCTGTGACCCACAGGGTAGAAGGAGGTCTGTGACCTCCACCCTGCTTTTCTGGCATGTGAATGCACACCCCCTACCTCACCACATAAACATATGTATTAAAATCACAATTTCCATAGTGCAAGCCCATGGTGTGGTCTGAATGTCTGTGTTCTCCCCAGTTTCTTCTGCTGAATGCTAATCATCTAGGCACTAGAAAGGGAGGCTCTGGATGTGCTTATGTACTGCTTTGAGAAAACAAACTACTAATGTCATGACCTAATTACTTCTGCTAATACCGTCACACTAGGAATTAGGATGTCAACATATTAATTGGAAGGGAGACAAACACCCTGTGACATGGAATGAGAGACTGAGACATGGGCACTAGCTTGCTCACCAGGAGCCAAGCAAAGTGGTCTGAATCAGCTAATGCAGCAAGAAGAGAGGAGAGGGAAACTTGGGGAATGGTCAGGAACACACACTTAATTCCCGACACAGCAGACACTGGGTTCATGGCATGAGGCCCAGAGAGAAGCCTGGAGTTCACAAAGCTGAGCTTAGACCCCAGCAAGGCTAGTGTAAGAATTCATTGATATAACATGTGTAAAGTACATGACTTAATTGCATTGAGTGTGTAGGTGTATGGAAAACAGAGTTCAGAGGCCGCATCTGCTATTTTTTTCCCCTGGTTTTGAGCCAGGGTCGCTCCCTGGCCTGGATCTCCTGTAATTAGGCCGTGCAGTCTGATCTCCCCTTTCCATAGCACTGGGATTACAAGTGCATGCTGTCACGCCTGGCTTTTTAACTTGAATTCTGGTGATTGAACTCACCAACTGAGCCTCAGACTATCACCCATTATTTTGATGTGGCCCTGGTGATAGTCAATAACTCACGCTCCATTTTTTCAGGAAAATGAATGCTTTTGCTGCACCACACAGGTGCATTAATATTGAAACTGTTTGTTTTTAATTAATGCATAGTAGTTGTGCATTTATCATTTCTTTATTTTGTAAAATCCTCTGTATGTGTTATTTTAAGTATAAAAGTAATTGTTGTCAACCCTATTTAGTGTGATATATAGTTTTTAAAATTATTACCCCTGTATAGACATATCCCTATACCCACTAGCTACCCTTTCTCCCTTTCCTTCCTCACTCACCCTCTGCTACTGATTATTCTACTCTCTTCTATGATAGCAATAGTTACTCATTTTAACCATTTGCCATATACCAGGCATTTTCCCAACTGGGATAGGGATATGATACACCTTACTGAGTCTTCATGAAGAAACTTAAAATACTTTCTCGTATTTTCTCCCTTTATGAGGCAACCAGAGCACAGAGTATATGGCTGGACACACTCAAAGTCACACAAGACCAAGATGCAGTCTTTGCCTAACTTGGTGACACTGAAACAGTTGTCCATTTGTTCCTAATAATTTTATTTGAACTTTATTTCTTCTCCACAAGAGTTAAGCTGCTTATATTTAGTTCAAGGAGTGGTGAAGGGGGATCAAGATTTCAAATGCTCATCTTACTAGCAAAGTTAGGTATTGTATGCCGTGTGTAAAAATGAAATATGGTGTGCAATTCAATGAAGAAATATGTGTTGCAGAGATGGTTCTGTGGGAGAATGGCTTGTGTGCAAGTGGGAAGGGCTGAGGATGGAGACTGAGATGTGTAGCCTGCGATTCTGGCGTTCCTGCAGGAAGAAGGGCGTTAAAGATGTTAAAATAGCTGGGAGTTTAAGGGTCAGCTAGCCTGGTGTATGTACGCAGCCAGTTTCATACAAGGTGGAAGAAAAGATCAGAAACCCTGGGCCATCCTCTGACCTCCACAGGGGCACCATGGCACACATGATTGCTCAACCAAAGACGAAAGACAGAAAGAAAGAAAGAAAGAAAGAAAGAAAGGAAGGAAGGAAGGAAGGAAGGAAGGAAGGAAGGAAGAAAGGAAGAAAGGAAGGAAGAAAGAAATCATTACTTTGTATAAGCAAGCTTTAACTTTTCCAAAACTGAACAAGGAGATAAACAGTAAGGGGATAAAGAAGAACTTTCTAGAACTTTCTCACTAACTCTAGTAATTAAAGATTATACTGTGGAGAGCTCAAGTTCCCCATATGTTCTTTAATGCTGGTGTTTGCTTGCTCCCAACTGACCTGCTCCCAACAAATAGATTCCACATAGTCTAGACCCTTGATACACTCTGAAGAGAGTTAAGGCACCTTTTACAGTACCATCTATGAATCTCCAAACTGAATTAAAAGAGGGGGGCATTCCTGTTAGCTAAAGGTCATTGAGTAAAATGCCATTTATCTTTCTGGGAGCATAATCCAAATATGTGTCTTCAGAACCTCTGAAGGCTGATTTCTCAGGGTAATTGAATGCAACTTTGAACACACTGGTTCTTTGCAGGTGAGAAACAGATCTTTTCAGTCCATTGAAAAGTCCTTAAGTTGTCATCTCTTTGAAGACAACATTCCCTGTGTCTTAGTAATGACAGGGCTAGAGAGAAGGTGAAGTGCCTTCAGTTTGGGTAACACTGAGGACTCCTCTTGTCCTAGCCAGGCCATCCATAGGTGTGCTCTTTTGAGAGTTGCTCAACTGAATTCTGCATTTCACTCAAGGAAAAAACAAACATTAGCCAGGTTTATTAAAGTGCTTTAATTACCCTTCTTGTTGGCCCTTTAGAGTGTGCTACAATCAGAACATGTCATTTATACACCCACAGCTGATGAGCTCCTTACTGGTGACCACAGTCTAACTTTTCACAGAGCACGCAGGTTCAAGGAAGCCTTCGGCCAGGAGTAGGACAGGCAGTCTTCAAGTATGTTAACCTTGCACACCTGAGTGCTGTCAGCGGCTGTGCGTAACCGAAACTGGTTTTACCACATCAGGAATCCTGTTTGACGGAAGCAAAGAAGCCAAAAATAAGGTGAAGATGAAGAGATTAAACAAGTCTCCGGGAACAAGGTTTTAAATACATATGTTTTCTTATTATCAGGAACATCAGAGAATGTGTGCAAGCACACACCACACACACACACACACACACACACACACACACACACACACACACACCACACCCTCCCTTGGTTTTAAAGGTTGTTTCCCTGGGGCATTCCTTTAGATTTAATAGTTCTTTGGTGGGCAGGGTTGAAAATGGGGGAACTTTCCCCGCATTGTCTGGGGACTTCAGAACTGCCAAGGCCAGCTCCCTCCCTGTTTTCCCAAACCACTTTGGGCCTGGAGTGGAGAGCATGCCTCAGGCCTGTCCAGCTTTGGCCTCCTGACCCAGACAGCTCCCTCCACAAGGGAGAGCAGGGCCAAACCCAGGTCGAGCCGCCCCCAGCCGCGGGGCTGTCTGCCAAGAGTTCGAGGCCACCCCAATCCGGATATGATGAAAGGGAGCCACAGAGAGAGAAGTGTTTGAAGATTGTAGGAGTGGCAGCTTGAGGGTGAAAGAGAGGCACAAGTGGATCCTGAAGTCCTCCCAGAGCGGGGCTGGCCCGAGTGAGCTGGCTGGAGGGAGGGGGCGGAGTGCGCAGTCAGCGCCGGCGGCTGCCACTGTCGCGGCCACTGGGACGTCTGGCTTGAGCCCGGGGCGGCGGGAAGTCGTCAGGCCGCCCGGACGCGATGGGGCCGCTGCTCTAGCCTCGCTGACGGCTGGCGGCGGGAGGAAGGGGCTCGGATCGGCCTGGACCGGGGGCGATGCTGAGGTAGGTGGGGGTTGCGCGTCGGGGGAGGGGGTTCGGGTTCCCTCCCTCGGGTCGCTCTGCCTCCAAGGTCGCCGCGCGTCCCCTCCCGCCCCGCGCGTCCCGCTCGCACCTTCCCCTTAGCTGCTTTCAAATCCTAACTTCCCCGGGGTGGAGTTGGAGGAGGGACACGGAGGGGGAGGGAATGGCCCGGCGCGGCAGCGTGCTGCTCTCTAAAAACAGTTCGTCCTGCTGTCCCTTTTGCTTTTCCCGCCAGAAGCAGTCAGTTTCCTGCACCCAACACCTAAGCAGCCGGGGTCCGTGCGCCCCGCGGGCGGCTGCAGACGGCGGCGCGGCGCGGGCTCGGAGCCCATGTCCGGGGCGGGCGAAGCCCTCGCTCCCGGGCCCGCGGGGCAGCAGTGCGCGGCCGAGGCGGGCGGCGGCCGGCTGGGCTCCCCGGCCCTCGGTGAGTGAGCGCTCGCAAATTGCGAGCTTCTGGGCTGTGTGGTTGCACACCTAGGGACGGGGTGGTGGCGGTAGTGGTGGTGCTCTGAAGATGGGGTCCAGCCTCGTAGTTGTGAACTTTTGCACACTCCATGTTACTTAAACGAGTTTGCCCAAGGATCCCTGCCCCAGATCAACAACCGGCTAGGAGGGCGGGGTCCCTGGGCCCTCCACTCCCCCTTCCTCGTGAGAAACAAGATGACTAGATGACTTCTACCTTCTGTCTCTGTATTTCTTAGGCTGCGTCTTGGGGTGGGGGTAGGGAGGTGGGAGTAGGGGTGAGGTCTCGAACCCTTGTCTAGTTCTTTTTAAGTTCTTATGCCATTTTCTCATGCAGGGTTGTCTCTGCTCTCTGAACAAGCATGAGTTCTGCTCATCTTTCTGGTTCTTGTGGGGTATACTCTGCCACCAGATTAACCATCCAGGTTTCTGGGACCACTTGCTTTTGGAATGGCTCCTGCATATGTTTTCAATAACTTTTGTTTTGAAATAAACATGTTTTAAAAGAATCGTGTTCCAGGGATGAATTAGCTCTTCTGTGTTCTTGCAAAGGGAAAAGAATATTTTTTGCTCCTGGGGAACTTCCACAACATTTTAAAACTCTGCGCCTTCTTTGAAGGTTATATACTTCAGTTGCTCACTGGTGGCGGAACCAGACTTTCATTTCTCTTACCTCTTCCTGTAAGGACAATTCAAATGAGGAGAGCTCTGACTGGCATGCACCAGTTAACATCCCAGGTCTCCAAAACTGAATCCTCTGGATTTTAAGCATATCTAAAATCTGCCCCTCCCCCCAGGACTCCAATATATATTGTCTTAAGTTTTCTGTTGTTTTGTTTTTCAGAAAATTAAAAGAGTGGAAAAGAAGTTGCTGTTCTAACCATAGTAGATAAAAGCAGAAAACCTCCCTGCTTAAATTGAAATGTTCTGGCATCCGGGGCTGTTAAACTGAGTTATGTTGATCATTTTGTTTTAGAAGAATGACTCATTTCTTTTCCTAAACAGAGAGAATTCAAATGATTAGCTGCAGAAAAGCAAGGAACTAAAAACGATAAACACATGTTTTCTCAGAAGCAGCCCATTTTACACACATTGTGTTGTCAACACAGTCATTTTGCTGTCATTAGGCATGCCCTCAGTAGTCACAGGGACTCACTGATAGGCCGTTTATACTCCCACTTGAGCCGTTAATCACTATTGTTAAACAATGCTCATACCAAAAATCAACATGAAACACCCAAAGAAAACAATTTCATTTGGAAATAGTTAATACGCACAGTTTTCAGTGTTAGTGCTACGGATTTCTTAAATCAGCTAGAAGAACTTTCCATGATAAGCTAGTACACCTGTGCAGTACAAAGCCGCTCAGCATCACGTGATCTGAGTACAAGAAGCAAGGCATCTAAAAGGGCCTGAGGTTAAATGCTGACTATATACGGCATGCACATTCTCTCTATGGAAAATCAGTGTCCTGTTGTATCTGAAAATGAACCTTCTCCCAATTTTCCTACCTTCTTCCCCATCATTGGGTTCTTCGTTATCCTTTCTAAAGAACAAAACATGGCATCTAAGCATAGCAGGACGTTGTTTAGTTAATTGAAACTTTGTCTTCAAATTCTGTACATTGAATTTAGTGAGAAAAATATAATACTTTAGGGACATATACAGAAGATAATTTTGTAAAAAAGAAAATACTAACATATCTTCTGCAGAGTTAAGCATACATATTATATGCACTGTGGTCATATATGGAACACCAGTGTGTTGCAATGAACTATCCATTAAGTTAATTCAAGGAATAACTCTTAAAAGTTGGAAGTAATTTTAGGGCTTTTTATCTGGCTTAAACCCCCAATCATATTTTGGGATCAGTTTTATGCCCTTTAAGATGGTGTTTGGAAATTTAACAGAGTAACCCACTGTACTTTTCAACATAGAGCTAGAAAGGTTGTCTTTACTGAGAGAACAGACCCTAACTTTTACTTTTCTGCTGTGCTTCTGAGAACTTTTCTATTGCTTTGAAAGCGTTATAGATATCAGAACTCTTCCTGGTATGTGCTAAAAGGTGGTACAGAGTAAGGGACGTGCATGCTGTAAGTGGGAACCAGGACAGGTGGCAGTCCAGGTGTCAGTGGGATTCAGGGACTAGGAGAGCTTGTGGGCTCGGGGATAACCCTGTTTAGTTCCAACTAAGGACTGCTATGTGGGTTCCTATCTTCTGATGTCCCCAGGGCTACTGGAAATCTAGATGCTCATGTGTATTGTTTCATTATTTTACAGGAACTAATTGAGTGGTTTCGTTTATTTGATTGTGATAAAGTAACAACTGTACCTGGAGACTGGATATGGCCTCTGATTTTGAAAACAGAAAGTTAATGTGTTTTAAAATGATTTTCCTGTTTATGACTAGCTTCTGAAATCTTGAGTTGTGTTCCCATGCAAAATTCCTGTATAAATGCCTTAGTAGGTGAAAGGCAATTTGGGCCAGACTTGTTCTTGTTTTAAGAGAAAATGGGTTTGTATGTATGATTCCTCTCATTGCCATTTCCTTTTCTTTTTGATTAAGCATCTAAATGCTTTCTGTTATCATGCAGTATTGTAACTGAAAGAACCTTTTAATTTAAAGTGCTTCATTCATAAGTTTGTGATTTATACCTAACAGAATCTTTAGGAATAATTTATTCCAGTCTGTTTATTTATAGGTGAGGGAAAGGTCTTCCAAAGCATCTAAGGGGCTTGCTCCGTACAGCAGTTGTCCCACATACAGAGATGAACAAGAAATCAGGTGGAGCACAAATTGTAAAATGTATGCCATTGTGATAAATGTGGTGGAAGTTGAGAATCAATACAACCTTTTCACATGGGGCAGATGCACAGAAGTTAATAGGCTCTGGATATTGTGAATCACTTGAGTCTGCTTCCACCCCAGCCCCCACCCTACTGCACTTGCCAAGACGTAGACCATTGGACTCAATGCTGGTATATACTTTAATGTGATAATGTGTGATTTAATGTACTCTCCTCTCTAGGGAGAGTCCTCTGAGACTATTAGGCGGACTTTTCATAGCAGGATGCAAAATGCCAGTGAAGTTAATTAAAAATAATCTAAAATAGAAGCGAGGGAGAGGCTCTTCAAGTTGAAACTGCGTAAGGAGAGCTCCGACTTCGAAGCTTAGCTGAGTTGTCAGGAGTTTATAAAGCTAATCAGATTTCCTTTGGAGGAAGCCTGTTTATTTCAATTTATATAATGGAAGCTTGTACATATCTGAATTTCTCTACTTCTTTCGTGTTGTTTTATCTCTTTTACAAATGGCATTTCTCAAAATGTGTTATCTTTGGACAGCTTCTGTCACTGCTCTCAACCAGGGAGATGATTTTGCCCCCAGGGAGACACTTGACTATATCTGGAGACATGTTAGGTGGTCCTAATGTGGCAGTGGATGTTACCAACATCTGGTGCGCAGAGAGAGGCCAGGGGTAGGATCCTGCTCAGCATCGTACAGGGCACTGGAAATCACATTCCCACGATAATGAATGACCTGGCTCAAGGTCAGTAATGGCTTAGACAGAAAATCTTCTGTCCTTATTCCTTGGGCGGCAGCAGGAATTTTGTCTTGACTCTGGTGCATAATCAGATTCTGTGGGCAGAAAACCAATGGACCTGCACCTACGCACGTTCTAGGTGCTACTTGATTCTGTCTAAGGCTAAGGCTTATTAATTTAGAGCCTTTACCTACAAAAGGACACATTATATTGACTTTTAAGAAGTCTTTTCTTAAGCCGGGTGGTGGTAGCACACACCTTTAATCCCAGCACTCGGGAAGCAGAGGCAGGCGGATTTCCATGAGTTCAAGGCCAGCCTGGGCTACAGAGTGAGTTCCAGGAGAGACTCCAAAGCTACACAGAGAAACCCTGTCTCGAAAAACCAAAAAAAAAAAAAAAAAAAAAAAAAAAAGAAGAAGCAGAAGATGAAGAAGAAGTCTTTTCTTTTATAATCAGGGGTGAAGGGGGTGGGGGGGGTAGGTAAACTCTCTACTGATATTCTTGCAAATTTTGGTTCACTTTCAAGGTACTTCTGAGCTTCAAAATCATATATTCTAAAATAAAGAAAGTCTTAAGTATTATAAAAAGAAATAGAAGAGGAAAATTAAAAGTATTCCACAGTGAACAGGATCCTGACACTCCCTTTGCCACCTAGGTAGATATCCTTACCCTGCATCCCTTCATAGCTTCTTGGAGAAACTACTTCGTAACAAGACACAGAAGACAGCCCTCAGCTTTCACATGAGTTCTGTTCATTTGTATGCTGGACCGTTAGAACCTGGATTATGTTTTTTCCTAGAAATAGTGGTAAATTATAATTAGCTCCCTAATAAATCTCCAAAAATTGTTGGCAATAAATTTTATTAAAACTTTCGTGCTTTTTATGATAAATCCCAGACAACATAGTATGACAACATTAGCAACCACAGACAAATAATGAAGAATAAAAGGAAACCCATTATCTCTTACAACACTTCTCATGTATATGCTTGAAGAAGGACAGAGAAAAGGAGGGATATAGATGGGGACTTGTCTGGATTTAAAGGGGGATGTGGGGACATTTTTAGGCACCTTGAAACCCAAAGTCCTAATTCTTTCATATGTATGAAGGGAGTAATGTTCATTTTATAACTTTAGCTCCAGGAGGGCAAGGCATGTCAGCATTTCATTGTCTTCCCCTTTGCTAAATGAGCCAAAGAATGCAAAGTGGAAAAAATTCCAAGAACAAAGGGACAGAGGAAAGGGAAGGAAGGAAAGAAGAAGGAAGGAGTGATAGACCTATGTGTCCACTAAAGTATTTGGAGAGTTTGCATTGCCTGAATTGAACAGTAGGAAAACAACATATTTATGATTTAGGCTGGTATGAACTGGGCAAATGGCTAGCATGCTAAAAAAAAAAAAATAGGTACCATTATAGAG